TGATTCTTGGGCATTCTGTTTTGAGAACACGCGTCAAATTAGTCAAAGTGTAATTAAGTATCGTGATTACAAAAAACTGTAATATTGAGTGCTCTGTACAAATATTAATTGAATACATATATTGTGTTATAAGTGCATATTTCTTTATAATAAATTATTTCATTGTGTTAACATCAGAAGTGGGATATAATCCCTGTTATCGTCCACATAATATAATCTTCGAATATTGTGATAGTTATTAACTTTGTGAAAGACTTCGCGTTGATGTCTTTGTTTTTATTAAATGTCGAAATGAAATTTGTTGTAGGTACTATTTACGACATTGACATACCATTAAAGTTTAGTTAGTAAAAGTTTAAAGTGAAATGTTTTAAGCCAAAAGTTAAATCGTTTTGTTCAATTAAGATTCAATTGATAATAAGGTACCCACAAGTACATTCATTATTCCTTTACGTAAAAATGTCAAAAGAAATGTTGCAGGTATTTTAAGATGAGTTATAGTTTTGCATTCAGTGGAAATTTACATCATGTTTAAACGATAAACAAAAAAAAAAAATGCTTAACTTTAACGTGCGATGAATTAAAAACACTAAGTAGTATTTTTGTATTCTAATGTGTTGACGACGTGGTCCTTCACTGCTGGCCGGATGAGGAAGCTCAAGGTCGCTCAGCGAGCTATGGAGAGGGCTATGCTCGGAGTTTCTCTGCGTGATAAACTTAGGAATGAGGATATCCGCAGTAGAACCAGAGTAACCGACATAGCCCAACGGATTAGTAAGCTGAAGTGGCAATGGGCCGGCCATATAGCTCGAAGAACCGACAACTGATAGGGAAGAAAGGTTCTCGAGTGGCAGCCTCGTACCGGTAGGCGAAGTGTAGGGCGTCCCCCCACGAGATGGAGTGACGACCTGGTAAGACATGCAGGAAGTCGATGGATGCAGGTGGCTCAGGACCGTGCTTTGTGGCATTATTTGGGGGAGGCCTATGTTCAGCAGTGGACTTGTGAAGGGCTGTAATGATGATGATGATGATGAATGTGTTGACAAGTGTTACAGTTTAATCCAAGTGTTATGTTCGACAAATTGGGATCTAATGTTGAGGATATAGTGGAAGGCGTGGTGCTGTGGCGCTTGCTCTTGAGTGGAAGTATGCTGTGGGCTTATGACGCCACAGGCACATTATTGGCCGCTGCTAGCGATCACCATTTGATACACGAGGAAAGCAAATTTATCCTAAACATTGTCTTAAAAATATTTTGTAAGAATAAGTGCTTAACTTTTTAATTAGTTGCGGAAAAACAAAGTATAACTGACGAAATCGAAGTAAATAAAAATTGTTGACATTAAAGAGATAATTTAACGTTACATGAGGATCGCACCATACCAGAGGTTGTCGTGTAGCCGCAGCTCAGTATATGGTGCCCTAGAAAAGCGAATGGTGTCCCAAGAGTAGTACTGCATTTCTTGAAATCAAGTTCCGACTGAGACTTTTTAATGTTTTCTTTTCTGTGTTACAGTAGCACGTGTGATGTGATTACATGTACGCGAGTGTAAGGCGAGTGTGTATCTTGCTGGTCGGTATGGACTACCAGGTCCAGCTGTATCATGGCCTGGTTTCGGCAGACGCGTATGCTGCACGCGTGGTGGGCGCCGTTCCGAAGCGCGCGTATGCTATACATGGCGGTGCCTCGCAAGTCGTATACTATGTGTGCGCGGAAGTGTTATACTCTGTATGCGCGGAAGTCGTGTTCTGTGAACATGCAGCAGGCTCTATTCTGGCAGGCGATGTCCTGGTTCACGTTGTTAACTTGATTCACGTGGTTAACGTAGGATCTCGCAAGTTTAAGTAAGAGTAGAAGAGAGTTTCGTATGGAGATGTATGCTTAAATGTGAAAGCGAAGTGCTTTATTATAGTCCACGGTATGAGAGCGTATTTCTGTTTGAGGGCCCTCGTATGCGTGATGGATGAGAGGATAGGCAACTGTGTATCCTGCCTGCTAATTAACAACTTGTTTTTCACGTAGATCACGATGACTGCAACGCAATTAGCGCACTAAAAATAAAAGGCGTAAGCGATCGCGTTCTATGAGCTTAAAGAAATTTAAGAGACAGGAAAGGCCGAACCAAATGAAGATATTTTCAAAAACCATGAATTTTAGGTGGTAAAGTATAAGGAAATACATCACAAGGTCGATGTTAGCTAGTACCGAAAAAGTGTATATGGCAAAATTGTTGATTGCATTTTACTGAGTGTGCAAATCAGTACAAAATATGGGTAAAACACATAAAAAGTTAAACAAAACCGAGATAAGCATAGTTGGTGTTACCGCCATTTCTCAAATTAAAATATTCCGCGTTTTGGTCAATCTTATCGACGAATCAGATTTCCTCTATAATCATCATCATCATTCATCATCATCATCATTACAGCCCTTCACAAGTCCACTGCTGAACATAGGCCTCCCCCAAAGAATGCGACAAAACACGGTCCTGAGCCACCTGCATCCATCGACTTCCTGCATGTCTTACCAGGTCGTCACTCCATCTCGTGGGGGGACGCCCTACACTTCGCCTACCGGTACGAGGCTGCCACTCGAGAACCTTTCTTCCCCATCGGTTGTCGGTTCTTCGAGCTATATGGCCGGCCCACTGCCACTTCAGCTTACTAATCCGTTGGGCTATGTCGGTTACTCTGGTTCTACTGCGGATATCCTCATTCCTAAGTTTATCACGCAGAGAAACTCCGAGCATAGCCCTCTCCATAGCTCGCTGAGCGACCTTGAGCTTCCTCATACGGCCAGCAGTGAAGGACCACGTCTCAGTTCCATAAGTCATCACTGGCAACACGCACTGGTTGTACATTTTCGTTTTCAGGTTTTGAGGTATGTCTGACGAGAAGATGTGTCGTAGCTTCCCGAACGCTGCCCAGCCGAGTTGAATCCGTCGATTGACCTCTCGGTCGAAGTTGGACTTACCTAGTCGGACTATTTGTCCCAGGTAAACATACTCGTCAACAACTTCGAGCTTAGTGCTCCCAACAACTACCGGCATAGGTGTGATATGGACATTGAACATGATCTTTGTTTTGTCCATGTTCATCTTAAGACCTATCCGTTGGGAAACACTATCGAGGTCATTGAGCATAGTGCTTGGGTCCTCCAGCGATTCTGCCATAAGGACTATATCGTCGGCAAATCGAAGGTGAGTGATGTACTCGCCATTGATGTTGATACCGTATCCTTTCCAGTCCAGAAGCTTGAAAACGTCTTCCAATGCAGCGGTGAAGAGTTTCGGGGATATGACGTCACCCTGTCTTACACCTCTCTGCAACTGGATAGGTTTCGTACTCTGGTTCTGTACTCGGATAGCCATCGTAGCCCTACTGTACAAGCACTTTAACACTTTGATATACCGACAGTCAACTTGGCACCGCTGAAGGGACTGCAGCACCGCCCAAATTTCGACAGAATCAAAGGCTTTCTCATAGTCCACGTACGCCAGACATAGTGGCAAATTGTACTCTTCGGACTTCTGTACAATTTGCCGAAGGGTATGTATGTGGTCTATGGTGCTAAAGCCCTTTCGGAAACCGGCTTGTTCGGGAGGCTGGAAGTCGTCAAGTCTTCCTCTATAATACCTTCATTTATTCCACTAATTCCTTCTTGCGACCGACAATCGGGTAGAAGGAGAAGTCTAAGTAAGAACACGCCCGCACGCCGAAGCATATTGTGTCACGCTCGCGACTCGCATATCTGTTTAATTATCATACGCTTAAAATCACGGCCGTGAATTGTATAAAATAAGTGTAAATCGCGCAAGAAAACTAGGAGTGTACCACGCGAGTGTCAACCTCAAGTAAGGAAAGAAGCTGACGGCGTTCTCCAGGTGCGTACCTTCAGTTTTATGTGTCGGTTGCAAATTTCAACGAAATCCAATTCCAACTACCTATTACAGTCCACTTTATTCCAATTTTGAACCACGCGTCACCATTTTGATCACTTCGCCCGGATTAAAACCTTTCCAATTCGATTACCATTTTTGCCACTTCGTTGGAATATTCAAATGCAGAATAGGTATAATTAAAACCATATATATATGCTTAGAAACATTTAAATATAATATTTTACTTAATTTCTCGCATATATACACGCATTATATATTTATTACATTGATTTAAAGCCGTATATTTATCGCTATTATATAACTTACCGCAATACATAATACAATGTCTACATACCCGCTCGCTCACGAAGAAATTTAGATCAGTTTAATAAATCTACCTGATATTTCCGCGATAGATTAAGTGTTTAGGACGCTTTAATTAGTAGTGTATTTGTCCATCGCTCGACAGTTAAAATTAAAACTTTACTTATAACCTTAATATTTCCTATATATATTTATTATAAAAATGTCAAAAACTAGCGCGTCAAAAACGAATGAATCTAGGACCGAAACGCCAGACCCCAAATTAATGATGTTATTGAATATCCCTTTCCTTCCTTACGGTACTTTTAAGTACCGGCTCCTTTTTCGTCTAATACATTAAATACGCAAACACTTCGTGCTTAAACTCACTGGCGATCCTTCACAGCACGATCATCGTAAGCCAATAAGAGCACACAATTCGGTCTATCGCTAGAATCGACCAATCAATTTGATCTGCAAGTAACAACTTGTCGGGTATTCAGTGAGTTCGCCTTGCGGTGTTTTTGTTATTGTTTTAAAAATATAATATCGTAGGTAAGTTCAAATATTTTCGATTATATAGTAAGTTTATATTATTAATTATATTTCTAAATACTTACATGATGTATTATTACCTTATTTCATTTGTATAATTTATAAAAACCGACGAGAACTAAAAAGTACCGTCAGAAACATTTGGTCTTATAATTTACTGAATTTTATGATAATTATACACGATGAATGGGTACTTTGTTTCGTTATATACCAATATTTATTTTCTTATTATTGTTCCATTTTTGTTATAGATGTACGGTAATGGATATTTCTAAAAAAACTGCCCTCGTTGAAGCTCTGTTATTAGAGGATCTTCCAGACTGTAGCGAAGATTCTGATGTAGGTGTTTCCGATGAAGAAGTCGGAAAAGATCTTCAAGTACCCTTATCGAGAGGCTTCGATGACTATTTTGAAGAGGCTATTGAGAGGGTCTTAGCTGAAATTCCTTCATCGCCGAAAAATGAGGAAGTGCCATCAGGTTGTTCTGTTGATCAGGTACATACATCTCCAATTCCTATCCCCAGTCCCGAAATTGCTCTTCCTTCAACAAATACGTCCATGCCTAGAGATACCCGACCGAAAGTAGTTGAACCAAACCGTAAGTGGAAGAAACGAGACTTAGAGACAAATATATCGGAATATAATGCGAACACTGAAGTAGTAGAAGAATTCTTTGCTCACTGTACTAAACCGACTGATATATTTCGTGTATTGATTGACGATATATTAGATGAGATTGTATACCAAAGTAATCATTACGCTACACAGAAAGGCAAGGTATTGAATCTAAAAAAGGAGGAACTTTTATCATTTATTGGTATAAATTTCTATATGGGCTACAATACTCGACTGGCTTGGACAGATCATTACTCTTCGGCATCTGATCTGAACAATCCACTTATATGCAACACCATGACAAGAGACAGATTTGCTATGATTTTATCACATCTACACTGCAATGATAATGCTCAAATGCCTAAAAACTGCAAAGATAAACTGTATAAAATAAGACCTATCGTTAATGCTCTCAATAAAAAATTTCAAGAGTGCTACCATGGGACCCGTGAAATGAGCGTGGACGAATCGATGATCAAATTCAAGGGTAGGTCTGTACTAAAACAGTATCTACCCATGAAACCAATCAAGAGAGGATATAAGTTGTGGTGTCTTGCAGACCAGAGGGGCTATATAAAAAAGATTCAAATTTACCAAGGGAAAGATGAAGAAATGAGCTCAAATTTTTCAAAATATAGCTTGGGAGAAAGAGTAGTTTTAGAATTAACGGAACAAGAATGGGGTAAAGGGAAAATTGTCTATTTTGATAATTTTTTTTCATCTGTTGCTTTACTTGAAAAGTTGAAAACTGAAAATACCTACGCATGCGGAACAGTCAGAAGTAATAGAAAAGGACTGCCTCAAAATATGCTCCCTGATTCTAAAATGAAAAGAGGGGAAAGTGATTATCGATTTTCAAACCTAGATATTGGATATTGGAAATGGAAAGATAACAAAGTAGTACATTTAGTGTCTAATTTTCATGGAAATGAAGAGGCAACTGTGTCACGTAAAGAAAAAAATGGGTCTAAGACTACAGTAACATGCCCAATGGCCGTCAAACATTACAACTCCTACATGGGGGGCGTAGACACAGCTGATCGTTTGAGAGCCCTTTACTGTATAGATCGCAAGTCTCCAAAATGGTGGCATAGGTTGTTCTGGGGTCTACTGGACATAGCATTTGTCAACGCTTTTGTCATTCATGGACTTATATTTGAGAAGACTACCGTTAAAGACTTTCGACGCTCTGTTACTCAAGGCATGATGACAATGAAAAATGCTGGTCAGAAAAAAAGGTTTTCTTCAGATAATGCTCCAAGTTCTGGTCCTTCTAAAAGGCGCAAATCGAATTATTCTACTCTGAAAGACGAAAAGACGTTTGGGTAACAGAGGCATACATTGGCCTGCATTTTCAGAAAAGAGAGGAAGGTGTGAGGTTTGCAGCTTCAAGAAGATTCAGTCCAAACCTTATACTAAATGTTCCCACTGCAATGTATTTTTGTGTCTGAATGATAAAAAAAACTGTTTTGTAGAATATCACGAGGTTGATGTTTGATGTCATTATTTTTACTTACTCATATTTTCTATCAAAGTTCCTAACATTGTGATACATAAAGTAACTGACGGTACAAATTAGTCCAGGTCTTAGAAATAGTACTTCTAGGTATAATAAAAATCTAAAAAAAATCTGCTGGTTTATTTTGACCTACTATTATAATGTAATAAAGTTAAATTTAGAAAAGTCTTTAAAAATCTATAGTCCGGTAGGAAAGGGATATAGCTATAGCTAGGCGCGATTCTTTATTTAACCGCTTACAAACAATTTATGATTGCTCTCAACAAGTAGATAGTGAGGTGGACAGGGAAGAGTTCCTTTCTGGAGCGATTTCGATTGATGCATTACGAAGTGATTTCGAAAGGGTATTAACCGAGTATAATCTATATAATATGCAAGTCTACCCAGAAGCAAAGGTGGAATATCAGTCATGGGTTGCGTTAGAGGAACTATACTGTCATATAAAACGTGTAATGTCTCGTCTTACAAGTCGAATAACAAATGAATGTCCGAGATCGGCCACAATATCGCGACCATCTTTACCACCTATAGAGCTAGCGTCGTTTGATGGTGATATCCGCTCATGGTCTTTATTTTATGCAAGTTTTAAATCCACTGTGCATAATAACCCGTCCCTATCAGACGCCGATAAATTGTAAATTGTTGTTGCTAAAAATTAACAATCAAAACGCATTCAGTGTTCGCCGGTATTATTCCTTGTGCTGAGAATTATGAACTTATTTTGAACGCGCTTATAGAGAAGTACGATGATAAACGCATGCTAGCATCGACATATATCAATCAAATTTTTGACTTTAAACCAGTTTCTAACTCTTCTGCTCGAAACCCAGAATTATTTTTACACACGTTCGTAACCGCGGTTAACGCATTAAAAAACTTACAAATACCTGACCTAACTGATTTTATTATATTACATACCGCCTTAAAAAGGTTAGACCCCGAAACAGTTCGTTCTTTTGAAATGCATTCTCGAAAGGATAAAATTCCTAATTTTAAAAGTTTAACCGACTATGTAAAGGAACAAGTTAATATATTACAGCGCTCTTATCATTCGAGTTTGACCTCGAATTCGAACCCGAATCACCGACCCACCGCAAAAGTTCCACAACCGCAATCTTATGTCACTATGGCCGATACATACAAATGTTTGTGCAGGGATATTGGGCATGATCATTTATACAAGTGTCCGGCGTTTTGCAAAATGACAGTAAACGACCGTTATAAATATGTTTAGGAACGACACGCTTGCGTAAATTGTTTGAGTGTTATACATAAGGCAGGGACTTGTAACACTAACTCTAAATGTAAAATTTGCAAAGGCAAACATCATAGTTTACTTCACTTTGACGCTTTCAAACCTGCTAACGCTCGCGTTGTGACCACCGCCGCCGAGTCATCGGGAACAACGCGCGCGATCGTACCGACAACAGCTGCTCCCGCGTCGTCGCCCGATGCGCGTAGCAAGAGCGTTTCGTTGTGCAGAACGTCCATTGCCGCACCGCTATCAACGCAATCTTGCGTATCCGAAGATTTATTTACACGTAATGTATACACTACGGTTCTGCTATCCACTGCAGCGGTTATGGTACGGTACTCGACGCGTATGGCACGAGCCGTAGTGTGCGTTGCTTATTAGATAGTGCATCACAGAGCAATTTTATAACGTCGGAATGTTGTGATAGATTAGGTTTATTAGTAAATAAAGACGACATAAAGGTAAAGGGTATAAGGGGTTCAGAAAAATACGCAAAGGGAGTTGTAGCATTCCAGTTCACTTCTCGTTTTAACCCTAACATAAGATATAATATTTCGTCGCTCGTCGTCGATAGAATAACAGATGACTTACCGTCTATGCCTGTCAACGCATCCGCTATGCCGTTCTTACAAGATTTGCCGTTGGCCGATCAAAAATTCTTTGAGCCATCACAGATCGATGTTCTGATCGGTGCTTCTTTATTTTCGCAACTTTTATTGCCCGGTATAGTAAGGGATAACTCTGCTGTACCGCCAGCTATACAAACAACGCTTGGTTACGTAATTATGGGCACTGTGCCCGCTCTTCCCGCTCGCGAAAACGTAACCTTGACGTGTTGTAGACCCGCACACGCCGAGGAAGACCCGCTAAGATACGTTGGTAAAACGGTTTTGTCAAATAGTTGAATCTCCTTTGAGAACTCCGCCCACTCAGTCCCCGGCTGAGATAGAGTGTGAGCATTTCTTTCGCGAAACCACTGAACGTGACAAAGAAACGGGCAGATACATAGTATCGTTGCCTTTCCGAGATGATATATTTTCGCTTGGTGATACTTATGAAACCGCTCGGAAACGTTTTCTGATGTTGGAGAGGAAGTTTGAAGCCGCTCCTGAGTTTAAGGCCGCGTATGACTCCGTTATCCACGAATATTTAGAAAAGGGCTATCTGTCACCCGCGCCGCTTGTTGACAGTGATAACTGCTATCCCGTTTACGTCATACCACACCACGGTGTTTTGCGTACAGATAAGACCACTACTAAACTTCGCATGGTTCTCGACGCGAGTCATAAATCTAGTTCAGGCCGCTCACTGAACGATATTCTCCATAGTGGTCCCAATTTACAAGGTGATCTGTTTGAAATTATTTTAAATTTTCGTCTTTTCGCTACCGCGCTTTCCGCTGATTGTAAACAGATGTTCTTTCAAATTATAATGAATAAGCGCGATCGTCGCTTTCAACGCATGTTATATCGTTTTCACCCGCAAGAAGAACTTACCGAATATGAATTTAATAGGGTTTGTTTTGGACTTAGGTCCAGCCCGTATCACGCGCTCCGTGTCATTCAGCAACTCATTGCGGATGATGGAGATTCATTTCGGTTAGCAAAGATAATTGCTTCTCGCTATATCTATATGGACGATATCGTTTTTAGTGTTATGTCGGAGGAAGAAGCTGCATCAGCTGCTAATGAGCTGATTGAGTTATTTAAACGTGCGCAGTTCGATTTAGTAAATCTTAAGCACTCTGCCTTCGTCATATAAGATGTCTGAACCTCTTGAATTTGATAAAACTTGCTTGGCTTGAGTTGGGATAAATCTCGCGATTGTTTTGCATTTAAAGTAACCAAGCTTGACGAAAGGTGTTCAAAACGAATCATTTTAGCCACTGTAGCTAGAATTTGGGACATAATGGGCTTCGTAGCGCCTGTTGTTCTCTTCGCTAAACTTCTCATAAAGGATTTGTGGCTATTGAAACTTGATTGGGACGATTGTCCGCCCCAGCAAATAGTCGAAACCTGGAAAAGGTTTTGTATAGAGTTACCGCTACTCAATGACGTCAAAATACCGCGACATTTGGGGGTCTTCGAACATTGCGTTGTACGACTGGTCGGCTTTTCTGATGCTAGTGAGCGTGCTTATGGAGCAGTGGTATACGCCCATATTACTCAAGCAAGCCAGGTTACGACGCGACTCGTCTGCGCCAAGTCAAAGGTCTCACCAATGAAGCCTTTGTCTATTGCACGTCTCGAACTCTGTGCTGCCGAATTACTGGCAAGACTAATTAAACGCGTGCATGACACCTACGATTCACGCTATCATATTAGTGATATGTACGCGTTCACAGACTCAATGGTCACACTTTGTTGGATAAACTCTTCTCCGCACCGCTGGCAAACTTTTGTCGCTAACCGCGTCGTCAAGATTATTGACAATTTACCAGCCCCTAATTTTCATCACGTTGCGGGAATAGATAATCCAGCTGATTGTTTATCGAGAGGTCTTACACCCGAAAGGCTAATATCTCATACATTATGGTCACAAGGTCCGTCCTGGCTCGCGCAAGACCTCTCGCTGTGGCCTATCACTAATACAGACCATAATACTATAGCGCTAGACAACGTACCGGAAGAGAAAATAACCGCACACCCCATTACTACGTCAGAACTAGAAACGTCCTTAATTCAAGATCTTAATAAACGCATCTCCTCCTGGAGTAGACTCACGCGTATCCTTGTTTATGTCTGCAGATTTATAAATAAACTACCCCGTTCCGGTTCGATAGCAGTTATCGCGTTCGATATAAGCGCCGCAGAGCATATGATAATAGGCGATATTCAAAAAAGACATTTTGCATTCGACATTAGACAGCTGGGAGCCGGTAGTAATTGCTCGCCCGCGCTAATGAAGCTTAAGCCATTTTTATGCGATGGCCTCATCCACGTTGGTGGCCGCCTTACCAACTCCGCTGAAAGTTCAGAATACAAATTTCCGATTATTTTACCGCGTCATGACGCTCTTGTAGAGTCTTTGATCGACTACTATCACAAGAAATATTTACATGCCGGCCCAGAGCTGCTCATGTCTTTGTTAAGACAACGATTTTGGATCTTGTCCGCTAGACGAATTATTCGGTCTAGAATTAATAAGTGTAACACTTGCTTTAAATTAAAACCGCGCCCGCGATTTCCTTTAATGTCTGCTCTGCCAGGACATAGAGTCACGCAAGCGGAGAAAGCTTTCGCTCATACTGGCTGTGATTATTGCGGCGCTATATTGTATACGCCCATACGAGCTCGAGGTGTTAAAACTCGCAAGGCTTACCTATGCATATTTACTTGTCTTACTACGCGCGCACTCCACATCGAAGTAGCCACGGATCTTTCCACTGTGAGTTTTATCGCAGCTTTAAAGCGCTTCCTATCGCGACGGGGTCCCGTGAAATGTCTTTACTCTGATCGTGGAACAAATTTTATAGGCACTCGATCTTATCTACGAGATTTATATAATTTTGTCACAAAGGAATACCGCCCGCGTTTAGAGGAAGAATTGGCTGAA